AAGGGAAGGGAAGGGAAGGGAAGGGAAGGGAAGGGAAGGGAAGGGAAGGGAAGGGAAGGGAGTGACAGGGCACTGTTTCTTCTGAAGACTTGCCAAAAGGCACAGGCTGTTCACCTCTGTTTCTGTTTCACTGCTTTCAGCCATGAACAACTGAAGATTGAATACTTTACCTGAGAGAAAGAATCACAGATTTTTACAACATCTGATTGTTCTCTATGCTCATTGGAATCAGGCTGTCAGTTTTAAGTGAAGCACGCTATAAATTATCTTCAGCAAACAGTGCCTTGTGAAAGGCAGCAGCTTATCTGTCAGTATATGCCATATGGCATAGCAGAAGTGGCTGTCCCTCTGTTGGGACATATGCATTGAGACAAAGTCTTGGGAGTTTTACTACATCTGTAATTTCAGATTAAAAATAAAAAAGATATCAGAGTAGTGCTTTCTAATTAGCAGTCATTAATTTGTCTCCATATCCACGTTACTCCTAATTTAGCCTTAGTTAAGCACCTGTCCGTTTGTGCTCAGAGTGCTGAAAGACAGAAACACAAAGGCAGCAAAGGGGCTGGGATCCTTCGTCTCTTGCAGCTAAAGCAGGGCTGTTGGATACCTTGCAGCACCCACCCCGAAACTCCGGGACTTTATGGGCTACAGAGGGGCTTCAGATATTCACTTCAAAACAAGGCTGAGGTATTTGCAGAATACTTTCACACACCTGGACATCCTTCAGGAACACACTCCACATTTTCAAACTGTTCTTTCAACCATGAAGGTACAAGTGCTTCCATACAGCACCAATATTTAGAACTGTACAAGGATATGCCCACAGCATGGCACAGTGAGAAATTAGGATTCATGTGGTGCTGCTGATCTTGTAACTTAAAGAGTTTCTAACATTACAGTATTTATTAGCGCGAGAGAAAAAACACAGTCCTCTCAGGGATGAAAGTCTCCAGGCAGCCAGCCTGGAAGCAAAAAGAGCTCAAGCAAAATCAAGCAGGGGTTTCCAAATGCTGCAGGACCTGGAGCATGTCTCCCACTCAGATATGAGCCTGCTGAACTCTTTGCCACGCATGGACTGCAGAGGATGCGGTGTCAGGGTGTCTGCTGGTAGGGATGGACAGAGAGATAAGATGTTACCAGAGCATGTGAGAGTGGTGACAACCACATTTTGCAGCTCTCACTAAAAGACAAACTGAATCCGGTTCCTGCGGGAAACACTAACCCAGATATCACATCCAAACAAGATGTGTTTCTCCCTCTCTGGCAGCTGGAGCAGGAGAGCAAGGAAGCAAGCATCTGGCACATTTAAATTGATTAATTAACAGATCATGGGATTAGTATGAGGTAGAAGTCTCTTAGCTGCATACACAGCACTGCGGGATGCGCACCCATGCAGGTCCCCGTGCTGCTGGCTGTGCTGCATCTCCTGTTTCAGATCCCTCATTCCCAAAACCATCAGGAGAATGCACGCTGCCTGCTGCCACCAGCCCAGGAGGATAGCAGACAGCAGTAGAAAGCTGTGGAGAGCTGCAAGCTCCCATGTTGCAGTCACAGAAAGGGCAGGAATGGGGCAGGAACGGGCAAAGTGCTACACGTGTGTGGGCTGAGAGCTTCAGGAGCAACACACGAGGACCAAGCCACCGACATAGCCGTCAAACCCATCTGGTTTTGTTTCTGAGCGTGGATGCTGCACAGCTGAAAAAGGACTGACCAGCATCAGCCACATTCACAGACCCAAGCAGTTTGTTGATTATGCACACAAAGCTTCACTGGATGATGTTTGTGAAAAAATTCTTGTTATCAGTGGAATTAGAATAGTTTGGTGAAGCCTCACCTGCTGGACTGCAGATTACTCAGCAACCAATTTTTTATCGACTTGTGATTTTGATAAGGATTTCTTTTTACAGGATAATTGCCATATGGGGTAGTTATCTGAAATTTTACTTTGCCATACTTACTCTGCAGAACATATAAAACCCTCACATAAGGAGAGGAGCAGAAGCCACTCAGCAAGGTGGTACCTGTGTCAGCACAGGGATCTTCACACTATTTTAAGCATTTACAAGTTGTCTATGATAATAAACATGGAGTAGTGAGAGTGTACTGAACTCAGTATTTGGCTGTGCAGTCAGCCTGATGGAAACGTGACAGGGCAAATATTTGCCTTCAAGCACCAGCTGGCAGCATTCCCAGTGCCCAGAGCCACAGGGTTGCAACACATGGTCTGAGCTGAACGGATAAAGGCAGCACTGTGCCTGGCACTGCTCTGCTGCAGGGGCCTGCAGGTGGGAGGGGGATTTCCAGTGTCACCTGGATCAGGGCTGCAGCTGTACCAGAGTGCTGCAGCAGGGCTGGAAGCTCCATGCTGCCACAAGCACCCAGCACGCACACGGCTCTGCTGAGCTTTGCTGCATCCACGGGGCACGCACACAGGGCAGGCAGAGCTGCGGTCTGGGATTCCTTCAGCCAAGAGAGAGATTTGAAGGAAATGATGAGTGATACTATAAAAATAGACTCAAAATACAACTCTAGTTTAAGCAGCAAGCATTATTCCAACAAGCCTAGTTTCAGACCTCTTCAGAACCCTCAGTAGAAGTGCCCGGTGTTTTTTTTTTCTCCAGCACTTCCCTTCAGAGCAGCAATGGCGGCGCGCTTCTACACCCAAGCTCTATTTCGCTGCATTGCTTTATGCTCTGACCCAGAAAAGGCTGCTCCAACCCCGGTCCGTAACTCAACTTAATGGAGAACAGCAACACTGCTCGCAGCAAAATGCTACTCTCTCCCCGTCGGGGAATCGAACCCCGGTCTCCCGCGTGACAGGCGGGGATACTCACCACTATACTAACGAGGAGTGAAGGAGTACACTGTACTGTCACTCTTTGGCTGCGCCGATACCTTCGGGTCTGACTAACTCTTCAGCTGCTCACCCCGAAGTGACGCCCTATTACTTGTAATGCCTGCAAAGCTGCAGACATGCACGTGAGCGGACTATTATTGGTTGTCCCAGAAGGATCCACTTACCCAAATGAGAAACTGCTGGGCACCACGCTTCCTGCTTTCACAAGCTAGGCGAACTGCAAGGGAAGCACTTCCTAAGGCAGGACCTTGCTGGGAAATCCATGTGAAATGCTAGACTGTAATTAATAGATTGTAATGGAATGCTGATAACAGGCAATAAACTCAAAACAAAGCCAAATGCTACACGTAACATCAATTCTACTGCTAGCAGCCAGCACTAGTTCCAGGTCAGTAACACAAACATTTTTTTTTCAAACAGTAACTAGGTTTGTTACAACCAGATTCCCAGATAACTCCTCTCTCTCATATGTTTAATGCCACTGAGTTTAGCATAAGGAGCTCACACTGCACAGCTCCTCTCCTCCCATTCCCTTGCCAGCAATGCCTGTTCCCCTGCTGCCTCCACTCTTGTATTCCTCTGCTGTTGCCAGTTTCTGGTAACAACTGCTCTCTGGCCAAAGCTCAGGGCCATCCATTCACCCTGACAACACCCACCTCAATGTACTGCTCTCATAAACAAAGTAGGGTGGGTTCTGTTGAACTGCGATCTCTAGTAACAGAAATCACAGGGAAGACAAAGTGCTCAGTACTTCTCTGCCTTAGGTTCTCACTTGACTTTAGAAAGGTCTTTTACATCATCTCTCACAGTCTCCTTATGGGTAAACTGGCGAAATATGGAAGGAAGAAGATTTACAGACTGACCAGACAGACCAGACGTGATTAGCAGTATAGAAAACACTCAAAATTTAATTTGCAAATGTGACCCTTAAGTGTTTTCTCTGCCGTAATGTCACATTAATCATAGGCCGTTTACCTTACAGGTCTTGCAGAGTCTCAAGGCTGCTGACCAATATTTGCTCTGACTTGGTGTTTTTTCCCTGACAGTTGATGGAGTTTATTTCATCATCTGCTTGAAATATGCAGTTTGTCATTTTGATCCTTTTTCGTTTGAGTTTGTTCATGCAAAATTTGGCTGCAACTCTTCCTTTAGGCAGTGCTCATTGCATAAGCTATATTAGGGCAGAAAAGCGATACGTGTCCTTTGGAATTACATAAACAATGAAGATTGCTGCAGTAAACTACAGCTAAAAGTTTCTCTCAGTCACCACTGCTCAAGTCAGAACGTAAAGGGTGCAGAATGTGAAGTGTGGCACATGGCACACAGGGGCATCTGCCCCACACTTCACTGAGCTGCTTATCAACTCAAACTAGTTGAAAGAGGGATTTTTACCTACAGAAAGTTCATACTATTTCTTCTGCAACAGCTCGTGATTTTGCTGTAACAGACACTCTCACCAGTCACTCGCTGGCCGGCTTCTGGGGCCCACCAGCCACTCACTGCAGCTTCCTGAAAGCAATCGCCCTCAAGACTCTGTAAGGTTAAAACAGAGCCACCGCTGCCACGTGAACTCTCAGCCACACGCTCCAGAGCTGCGTAAATGCTGTCCCCCAGCTGTGCCTGCAGACACAGTGCAGCAGTGGTGGTGCAGCAGCCCTGCAGCCGTACCTGCCTGAGCAGCCCTGCTGGCTGCACGCTGCCTGCTCCCTCTGCTGGATCCTGGCTGCGAGCTGGGGACGCCCCCCACTGCTGTGCACAAGGCAACTGCTACCAGACGCTTCATACTGTAGCATGGAATACTTGACAAAGATCTGTTGACGGATAGAAACACCTTTAGAGCAAAGGACTTTCACTCCAACACCAGGATGAACTTCATTTTTAATCTACGCTTCTAAAAAGACAAACATTGAAAGGATTCTTAAATAAGATGTTTCTGTGTCCAAGAAAAAAATCCTGTACAGCTGGCTGAGTAAGAGGAAGTCACTTTTCCCACAGAAACAGATTATTCATCTCACCAGTAGATAAGATGGAAATAATGCAGCTGACAGAGCTGACCCGGAGGCCTGGCCTGAGCTCACAACAGGCGGCACCAGGACGTGGTTCAGGATCCCAGCTAAATGCAACTGGCTTCTACAAAATCCTAGGGTGCTACACTCAAAGAAGCACATCACGTTTCTGCATTAAAAACAATGCACTCCAGGCTAAGCAACACACCACGAATTTGTGGAATAACCTGCATTTCTTACAAGCTTCTCTCTGCATGGCTTTGATGCTGAGTTCTTCAGTCCATGGAGATATGATACAACGTGGCATTTTCAGTTTCATCTTTGGCAATTTAAAACTAGGACTTGGAGATGGGAGAGCTCAAAGCTTTGTAAAATGAACCCTGAAGCACAATCCCTGACTCACCAGGACCATCACATGAATTACTGAAGTGCTTCATGGCACAAACATCAGTTCTGAAAACTTCTTGCCTGTTCAAGACAGTGTAATTTGGCTTTATTAAAACATAAACAAAGGAAAACTTCAATAGAGACTAAGTGACAGCTTATAAAGACACGGTGTATTTCATTCAACAGGAAAATATAATTCTCAGTGATTTGAGTACATGTAACAGTATGTGCTCCCAAGCTCATTTGGAAGGCAAGCCTAAAATTATTTAGGGCATGAAATGTTTTTGAAAACAAACTGAATTCAAGAAATATAAAGTGAATGCTTCTATTAAAGGAGAGGAAGCAACAAAAACCATGCCAGTCCCTTTCCTCGACATGAAATGTTAAGTAATGACCTCGGTATCAACCATCTTAGCAAGTCCAGGAGCTAAGGGAAGAAAAAACCCACCCAGAAACCCCACAAAGACCAACAAACAACAAACAATTTCAAGTTATTTATTAGGAAAAGACAAAGTACTGTTTCAACATTCATACAGAATGACTGCTAATAAAACCAGGAAAATGAACTGTAAAAAGTAGGCCCATCACAGAGGAGGTGGCTGATGACAAAGTAAATGAAATGCAAACTTCATTCATGCAAACAAGCAGTAAGGAGTTATTTACAGTTTTGATGGGATGGTTTACAGCCTTGGCCACATTTAGGGCCCAATGAAATTATTCAGTGACATAATAAAGGGTCTAATCTGTACATTCAATAATGAGAATCTATAAAAGGAAATAATTTAAACAATTTACAAGAGCTGCATTACAGATGGCATAAAGGTATCATTTACAAAGCTATATTAACAGGTGACACAAAGGTATTAATCAGTAATTTATGAATAAAAGTTTGTAGCACATTTCTCTATCACATCTTCAGTGTCAGAACAGTAAACAAGAAAGTGGAGACATAACATGAGTGCAGTGTCATAGAATAAGGCAACTGAACGAAATGGCTCTTGAGAGAACTTCCATCCTACAAGGGGTTTGCATTTTACAAATCTGCCTGCTCATTTTGCTAAGCATCTAAAACAAACACCTGGAGACAGCAATTGGTCATTAGCAGGCCTGTGTATGACAGGAAAGTCAATGGAAAAATCAAATACTCAAGTGTTAAAATGCCAAAACTCATCAGAAATGTAAAGAAGCGCAGATTATCAAAAGCCCTCTATATCCTATAACATCAAAACACTAATTTCCATGTTCTAGATGCTGCTGATTTATTATTTCTCAAAATACTAGTTCCCTACTTTTATAATTACTGTTTGTACTGCACAGCCTGGAACTAACACACCTCCTCCAAGGTCTGTATTTACAATGCTCTCAAACTGATGCTAGAGGAATCGTGAAACACTAGTATTTTATAGCATGGATTAGCAATTGATACACCAGATTCCAGTTTATTTTACAGACGAGACTAATTAATGCATCCCATTTTAAATGGTATTTCTGCATTTCTTCAAAAACTTTCCCACGTGCTAAAAGGAATGTCTGATTTTCTAGATGTTTTAGCAGAAAACAAATGCTGATCCTGTTCTAGTTGGTGCTGTCTGCTTGTAACAGGTTACAATGACAAAAGAAGCCTGAAGGTAACACTGAAATCCTGCAATGAAAATGATCCGTACCGTAACACAACCGGAATGTCAGGAGCCTTACAGAAAGCAGCACGGGAAGCTAAACCCTGTCTGTTTCAAGTCTCTCAGAAGGACCAGGCTACACACGCTTTATTGACCATTTCTGGTTAGAATTTTTCTCTTTCAACATGTAGCACCAGCAGGAATATGCAAAGTAGCATGATTGTGTTCCCCAGGCAGGAGGCCTGGAGGCCAAATCCTGCTCACTTATTTCAAACAGCCCCAACTTCAGAGAATTATCTACTTCAGTAACTGAAGAGAGCAGGACTTGGCACTCAGTTATGCTGACTTAGACTGCTCCAACAAATTGCATTAGCACACAAATAATTACAATTATATTACAGCATCTTTTGAGATGTTTTCACAAAGTGTGAAATTTTTACAAAGGTTTAATATATTTTGTACGTGTGAAGTAAACAGAAGTAACTAAACAGGCTTCTTTTGCAGACTTTAATACAAGGAATTAATAATAGTCTACCTCAAATGGCAGAATACTGGCAATGTACTTTGGAATATATTAACAGAAGTCAAAGAATGCAAGTGGACAATTATCCCTCCATGCTGGGCAATAATGGCGTGGGTTTTTTTTTTTGTCTCCCTTGGTCACATCTGAGGACTTAAAATAATTTGTCCATTTTATTTACAGTGATCTGAACTATTCTCCCTCTCACTGTGTTAAGTGTTAAATACTAAAATTAAACAGTAACTAGATGTGTCAAGTGTCTTCCTAGCTCTGCACTGTAATCAATAGGTCTTGGTCAAACACTTCCAGTCTGACCCACAGTATTTCTGGTAAGTTTTTAACCTAAGAACAGCTCTATTACACACTCAGTGTCTTTTAAGCCTATATAATAATAATTAGAAAAAGGATATAGAAATCCCTGGCACTAGGAAGACACTGACAAGGGAAAGAACTAACCTCGGGATACGTGCAAATGGACTTGGGATAAAAAGCTGACCAGCTAAATAGAACTATGCTGATCCTGAGCTCTGTTC